GACGCCCAACGCATACTTTCGCGGCTCCTGGGGTTTTATAGATGGTATCGTATTGATCACTCTCTGGGTCAACGTTGGCACCTCGTTCTTGAATGAGGGTCAAGTCACTCGAACTGTAGGCGCGTTCAAAGCATTGAGAGCTCTGCGTTTGCTCAACATTAGCGATAGCGCACGCAATCACTTCCACGCGCTCATCGTTCGCGGTTGGTGGAAACTCTTCTCAGTAAGCATGCCCTATGGTATACGTACTTCAAACTAACTGTAAACAGGCTGCTTTTGTGTCATTGAGCTTGCTGATCCCCTTTGCCATCTATGGTTTGAACCTCTTCGTTGGCCAATTACAGTCTTGCAACGACGGCGACTTTCCTGGAGGCGCCAGTCTGAGAGATTGTGTTGGAGAGTACAACAGCTCGCCGTTCGAATGGGATGTTTTGGCCCCACGCCAAGCTGCCAATCCTTATTACGATTTCGATAACTTTGGAGATGCCCTCTTCATCTTGTTCCAGATTGTGTCGCAAGAAGGCTGGACAGACAACATGTGGACTGCAATGAGTATAACTGGCGTTTATACTCAGCCAGAGGACAGAGCATCTCAAGGCAACTCTGTCTTCTTTATTGTTTTCAACTTGCTCGGCGCTGTTTTCGTCTTGACGCTATTTGTTTCCGTGTTTATGCGCAACTACACGGAACAAACTGGAGTCGCCTTTTTGACCACAGACCAGCGCTCTTGGCTAGAACTGCGGAAGCTCCTCCGCCAAGTCTCTCCCTCCAAGCGACCCTCTTCCACCAAGCAAAGAGAGAGCTGGGAAGAGTGGTGTTACCGCAGAGCTGTCACGAAAACTGGATCTTGGCAGAGAACAATCACCGGCGTTCTGGTACTGCATCTTCTGCTGCTTTGTCTGGAATGGTATCCAGGATATGGACCATGGGAGACTGCTAGAGGTAAGTTCTGTCCTACCTGCTTTGTAAACTGACACTAACATCACAAGACTATATCTTCCTCGCGCTTACCATCACCTTCATTGCGAATGTAGTCATCAGGATCATCGGTCTCTCCTGGCATCGTTTCCGGAGAAGCGCGTGGGACGTGTACTCGATCTTCTCCGTTGCAGGTACTTTCGTCACGTCGATTCTTGTGTTAGCGAAGGAGGATGTTAGGATAATCGTCCAGCTGCACAAGCTCTTCCTCGTATCCATCGCTCTCATGCTCATCCCTCGGAACAACCAACTCGACCAGCTATTCAAGACTGCGGCAGCAAGTCTTGCGTCCATCGCCAACCTTCTTGCCACATGGTTCGTCCTGTTCTTGGTATATGCCATCGCCCTCACCCAAACCTTCGGTCTCACCAGATTCGGAGCCAATGAAACTGGAAACGTCAATTTCCGGACCGTACCAAAAGCACTTGTTTTCCTCTTTGTAACAAGTGGTGGTGAGGGTTGGAACGAGTTCATGGAGGACTTCGCCAACGTCGACAAACCTTACTGCACGGTAGGCGACAAGTACTTCAACAGCGACTGCGGCAGTCCTGAATGGGCGCGAGCTTTGTTCATCACTTGGAACATTTTGAGCATGTACATCTTCGTCAACTTGTTTGTTTCACTGATATACGAAAGTTTCAGTTACGTGTATCAAAGAAGCAGTGGGTTGTCTGTCATCAGCCGAGAAGAGATCCGCCGCTTCAAGCAAGCTTGGGCAGAGTTTGATCCTAATGGGACAGGCTATATCTCAAGAGATGTATTTCCAAGGCTCCTGGGTGTAGGTTTATCAATGTTCGTATCAAAGCACGAAGCTAACAACACTAGGAACTCTCCGGTATCTTTGAGATGCGTATCTATGACGGCGACTTTACCGTCGGTTCCTTGATCGATGAATGTGCTGTAGCACCTCGAAGGGAATCCAGCCTCCCAGTATCCGGTCGTGAGCCGACTAAAGAGATCGATCTTGACAAGCTGAACCGTCGTCTCGCACAGCTACCGATCGCGGAAATACGTCGCAGACGACAACGCATGAACATTTTCTATGAGGAAGTGCTTGTGTCAAGCGACCCTGATAGAGGTATCCAGTTCTCTTCATTGCTGATGATCTTGGCTCATCACAAGGTCATCAACGATAATAAGAGCTTGAGATTAGAGGAGTTCTTGAGGCGCAGAGCTCGTCTACAAAGAGTCCAAGAAGCTGTTCGCCGCAACGTGGTTGTTGGTTTCTTCGACACGTTATACTGGGCACGACGCTTCCGCCGCGCCATGGATCAAAAGAAGCAGGGACGTATGACAGCAATCCCGCAGTTCACCGTTCCCGAGATCTTCATCGACGATGAAGACATTACAGATGCACAGCGAGGGCAATCTTCCGGGCCTCCCAGTCCTCTCTTCTCACCCCAAGATCTCTACGCACCCTCCCCTCGAAACTCGGCTGGTCAGTCCACGTCGCCACCAGCTTTCCCCTACGACCGCACACGGAGCAGAACCAACTCAATACAACAGACACCAACAGCCTCGCCTACACGGGCAAGTCCGCAACCATCTCCCTTCTCTCTGTCTGGAGAAGAGCAAGAATGGCAGTTTGCTTCGGCACTTAGTCGGCCACCTAGTCCTCTCGAAGTCGATCCCGGGCAAGCGGGTAGTCGTAGCCGTGGAAATAGCGCAGTCAGTGCGGCAGATGTTTTGGAAGTGCTTGATAACTCGGCATGGGGTGAATCGATTAGGAGGAGTTTCACCCAAAAAAGGCGTAGTTAGCGTCCGATGGGATTTGTTTATGACCGCCGAGAATATGTATGGCGTGTGTCAATCACGTCGATCAAAATGGCTTGGTACGGCTTCGGCAAAGGGTCGAGCCAGAGTCGGATGGTTCAGAGTGGTGCACGACACGAAGCCTGTTGCATGAACGTCTGGAATGATTGGATACGTAGGCGGCTGGCATCAACCCGACACGCAACGCTGGTATGGGACTGATGGGTTGGATCGGTGTTGGGGTAGTGCTTGTAACGGTGTAATGTCGGTGGTGGAGTTAACTTTTGGCATTGCATAGCGTCGGCGTTGAGCGATTGATCAAATCACCTTAGATATTCCCTATCACAAAGCTTTACTTCTCTCCTGCCGGTGGCTGTTTTCATCACTTGGTCGACTTTTGATTGAAGGATACGAGAGTCGTTGGTACTAGTTCGCAGAGTGGCGCATGAGGTTGTCTGGTACACTACTCAACGTTTATCGTGAACCTGCCCAGGATCTTGCCATAGCACGCTTGCCAACGAGCAACCGTACCATGGTACAGAAAATGATCAGACAGCATATGCTGCATGAACATGCTCAGGTGACAGACGCTAATTGTATCTTCCGCCACTTTGGATTGGAAAGTGCTGTCGCCCGTTCCTGATTTACAGCTAGTTTTCAGTTTCTTCCTCTCTTCTAGACCTAACAAGGACCACGCGAACATAATGCACTAGTAAATACGATCGCCCCGCACGTCGATAGAAGCTGCATGCGCACCTGAAACGTTGATCGGCTCATCGCTTCTGCTAAGGGTGCACTCGAGTGTGGTGTCCACCGGACCCCCCTCACATCAAGAGCCGTGAGCACAATGCATACCAGTCTTTGCTACGTCTACAACAAGTTCCAACGTTGACACACCACTACGTAGCATCACACCGGAGCATCAAAAACGCGTCTGCATCTGTTGAACGTCCGCTGCGTCTGAAACACTGGTCTGCCGTCAGATAGCTCGGCGAACCAGGCTATTCCACTTTCGGATACGCTCGCCTGTCGCAGATTCTTACATCACACACGCAGCACCAGGTCTCGAGACAGGCCGTTTAAGCATGGAGACATTGTGAGCTTCATGTGCTGGGTAATGCCTTCTTATGGCTGGTGGGATGCACGCAGGAAACAACGGCCAGGGTGGTTGCGTCTGAACTGGCCGAACTAGGAGCGGCTTGACCGGCTCCAGGTCGATGGCGAGCGGAAACCTCTCCGATCATCGTGCCTACTCAACAAGTTTATGGCTTGGACGTGATGGCGGACCTCCCTGACGATGATGCAGAACGCCGGTGTGGATGACAGCACGCGGACACCTGCAGAACGCGTCGCGCAGAAAAGCAACAACAACAACGTCAACAAAAACATAGACTAGCTAATCGCCGACGTAAGAATAGCTACGGCAACCCTCACAATTTCTTGTGAAGCCACCAACAAGTCGGCCATCAACGATTCTCCACGACAAGTGAGGATGATCCTGTCTCTACACATGGCCATGCAATCTCTTATCGATTGCAGGCTCCTGAGAAATGAAGCCATGCAATCATTCCGCGGCGCAATCAATGGGCACAGCATGTCTCCCGCTCGCTTGTTTCTAGACCGGTGATCAAACGAGGCTCTACCCCTCAATTCACGCGTTCCTGACAGGGATGCCGCTGCTCCGTCTGTCCAAGGTTTTAGCTCTGGGACGTAACACGCACTGGCACAGAGCACATGCGACACGCAGCTTAAGGATCCGCGAGTCCGCTGTTTTTCCAACAGGAATACCTTCGTGAACTTCCTTCTTCATCCCTTTACATACCTTCGCTTTCGTGTATCTGTGCGCGCTTCTGTTCTTTGCCCCATCTATCCATATATACCTTTGAACAGAGTTGATCTCCCTTCGACACTGCCGCAATTTACTCGAAGCTGGTCTACATCACGAGACTTTTGTTGAGCTCTCGCCTCCACGCACGCCCGCTGCATTACACGTCATCCCCTCTGATTCGCAAGCCGACCCTCAGAGCCAACATTCGTTGACGTACCCCCAATTCCAACTACATTCCTTACATTACCCTTCCCAAGGACAGCTGGTTCTTTCTACACCAATCTGCCTTGTCGAACTCCACAAACTTCACCTACTCAACCAACGGGAAGTTACATTGTATCGACTGCCGGACCAAGAAGCAAATACTACCATCACAACATCCGACTAATCACCAATCTACTTTCCATCGCTACCACTCCGAAGGACCAACCCAACAGTCAAAATGCCTTCCCCAAGCCGCACCAACCGCTTCCAATCCTTCACTCCCCTCCGAAGCACATCCGGATCCCTCCGTCGTCTTAAGACTGCCTTTAGCCCAAACCGCAACTCAATGCGCTCTGCCTCGCCATCATCCATCATTTCCTCAAGCACTACGCCTCTGACCCGCAACTCTTCGCCACACAGCCACCGCTCCTCAGGCTCATCCATCAGGCAACTGCTCGCCGTCCGTCGCAAGCCTAGCATGTACGAGTTCGAGATGGAAGAGGAGAAGCACTTGTTTGAGCAAGAACTCGACGTCCTCGAGCCACGACCTAGCATGGGCCGCGGCACAAGCGAAGTCCACGTCGTCGGCATCTTTGAGGTTCTTGACGGCAAGTGCTAGTTTGGCCCATGTCATGTTTCGCATGTGTTTATGAAAGTTTAATGGGCGCGTTAACCATTTGGATTCTTGCTCTTCAATTCGTTTAGATTGGGTCTATCACGGCAACGGGGACAGTGGCGTCAATTCTGGGTTTCTTTGAACATTTACCCGCCTTCGGGGATGTTGGATTGGTGCCTTTCTTATACCCCAATGGACTGGATTGGACTGGGGCTCTGGTTGGGTTCTTCATCATGTATCATGGAGATTATGAATATGAACAGACTTTCTACCAATGACTTGTTACTCTGCTACGTGTGCGTCTTGCTTCTGTTCTTGTGATACCCATACGACATAAGGTAATGCCCTGACACTAAACACTTCGGCCTTCGGCGTTGGCTGAAAAGCAATATGCATGGTCGATCTCGGATCTATTTGACGTCACGCATGAGACGGCAATCGTGAGCATGATAGACCCGTCGATAGGCGTCGCAGTTTGTACATGTCATGAGTACGGTATGTGTTGAGGTAGATCATAGTAATGACATTGGTATTTCAAAAAGCAGTCTCAAATGTACCTGCCGTGCAATTTCAAACGCCACGCCAATGCATACGGTCAGCGACCTTCCACCCTTCATCCAACAATATCAAAACAAGGGCTTGAACAAAACATATGCCCACGAAACCGCTTAATATACACCATTGACAGGCTGCTGCAAGTTATCGAGCTCTTCCTTCCTCTTCCTGTACAGCTCTTGTGCCTCCCTCTCCCTCTTGGTAACGAACTGAACTTCGTTGCGCAAGCTCTCCAATCTACGTGCAATCGCAGTTTGCTCACTGTATTGTGCCGTCCTCGCTGTGTTCAAATCATCTCTAGCTCTCTCAAGTGCTGAAAATGCGCCACTGATCTTCTCACGTAATAGATTTGACCGTTTGACATATCCTGCGTGGTGTGTAGTTAAGCGCTTCTCGATCTTGTTCGCACGTTCTGCTGCTTCGATGATGGACTCTTGCGCATTGTCAAAAGCCTCGACAAGAAGTTGGTGCTCGTCGATTTCGTCTTCCTCGTAGCCCGCAATGCCAGGCAGAATTTTCGAACCGTGAAGCGTGGTCCACGATGTATTGAGGTCTGCGTGGAAGGCCTTCTTGTCTTTGTCGGTGGTCATCGCAAGCTCAAGAGCAAGCTCCATCTTAGCATTCCGTAAAGCATCGTCCGTCATGGATTCAACTCGTTGTGCTGTACCGGTAACCCGGCCATCTCCAAACTTCTGGACGTCGTTGGCAATGAGCTTGGCCATTTCGATCTCGATCTCGCGTTCGACGGGGTCGGAGAGGTCCAGCGCGCGTTTCATTAGCACGTCGATGTCGACTACTGATGGCCTTGGGAGGAACTTCTGCACGACTTGCGTTTGCCTGCCAAACTCTGCAGCTTCTTGGGCTTCGCGCGCCTCCCGAGCTTTTCGGTCCCGTTCAGCAGCGTCTTCTTCGCTGACTTCAACTTCCATTTGATCTGTTTGCTCTTCAGGAAGCTCAAACTCCCAGCTCTCTTCTTTTGGCTTCGGCAATGCAGCAAGTCTGCTCTTAAGATCTTGACGCTTTGCCTGCTCCCTTAGTTTGATGTCGCGAGGTGTCTGTCCAACCAGTTGCATGCCACTCTCTTCGCCATTCAGGCGTAGGGTGTCACGAGGAGTCCGCATGGGCGTCGCTCCTGGTATCTGTCGCATAGGTGTATCTCCGACTGCGCCATTGGCTTGTCTGAATGGTGTTGCCATGGGATTTGGCGTCACAATCTGGTGTCGTGAAGCAGGTCCGGACAACGAAGCAGGCGCCTCATCGTCGACAAGATCCGGGTTATCGCCACCTAGTAGAGCGGACTGCGTTTCTGTTCGCATTCGAGCGTTTCGTACTTCATTCGCGACGTAGTCCTCCTCCTTGGGTGCCATGGGTGTACGAATGGGAGTGTTGCCGATCACATTCGAATAATTTCCAATCAGACCCTGAGTCGCCATGTTATCGCTACTGCCTGCAGAGATTGCGCGTTGTCCTGTCGTTCCCATCTTGACGATATCTTCCAGCTCAGCTTCTCCGACCTGTGGAGTTGGAAGCACAAGAGCGCGGCGCTTGCTGCTCTGCTCTGCTTCCCGTATTCTCTGTGCCTGTGCGGCCTTCGCATATGATGCAGCAAGACCTCCTGACTTCTCGTCTTTCTTCTTCTTCCTGTCACCTCCCCCGTCCTCCTGTGACTCCATCTTTCTCTTGTTTGCAAGTTGTTGCTTTCGCGGATCGAAGGCCTCTCGTTGTTGTTCGTTGCGGTCTATTTCCTCGGTGGTATCGAAGAAACCAGCGGGAACTTCCTTCTCGAGCGGTACGTCGGCGTTGTAGTCGATGTGATTGCCTTTCTTCGGGGTGATCTTGATGTTGATACCAGCCGCTTTCAGTTCTCGTCGCTTCTGAAGCAGGGCAAGCCTTCTTGATTCCTCCAGTTGCCGCTCGCGAGCCTTCCGCTTGGCCTTCTTACCACTGACGTTTGCCAAACGCGCACGCGCCTCTGACAACATCTCCTTGTCTTCCTCATCGATGTCAACCGCATCGGGTCTTGCGGGACGGCTCTCGGCGTATGCGTCGACCTCTCCGGGACGAAGGCGCCGTACATCCTCTGCTGAAGGAGCGGCTGAATCTCCGCCCTCCGGGCCTGCCAGTCCAAGATCACCAGATTCCCTCGACTCTTGTTCGTCCAACAGCTTTTGGTAGCGCTCGAGACATTGGGTCGCCTAGGTGACGTTAGATGGGTATTTCAAATAAAGGGGACAGTTGCGGCTACGTACCGTTCGTCCAACAATGGGCGCAATAGTTCTCCACTGGGTAGGGAGCAGTTTTGCCATGGTCAGAAGCTTTTCATCCTCCTCTCGCGACCAGTCTGTCTTCCGGATGGCGGGGTCGATCCAGTTTGTCCAGCGAGATTTGCATTGTTTCGCGCTCTTCTTGGACAGCAGCGAGGCGCATCGCGACCACTGATTCAGCCCATACTTGCTGATGGCAGCCTTCAGCACCTCGTCCTCGACGTTGGACCAGGAAGATGTGACGACCATTGTGGATGACTTCCGGGGGTTATGGTGGGTTGGCGCGCGTGTCGTGGAGTGATGGTATCCTCAGTCGCGAAACTGAAAATGGGCTGCATGCACTAGCGCCTTGGCAACGTCAAGCACCGCGCGGAATGAGCAAAGCGAAGTAAGTTTACGTGTCGACAGGACGAGAAGTCGCGTGTCCGCGAGAACTTGTACTGCCCAGGAATAGCAAACTATCATGTCAGACGTTGTGCACTCATGGTTCATCTACCCAGTCACGGTTCAGGCACTCAGCTTTCACGTGAGTGAGGCGACCGCGGTCACAGTGACGTAAATTCACTGTTTCAATCTTCCTGAATTCCTGTTGCCACGATTTCACTACACACCCTCCTGACCAGATTTCTTCTATCATGTTATCTCTACGGCAAACCACAGGGCGAGTTCCTATTCGTTTCCTCATCACGCCGCCCTCAAAAGCAACCAGTCGGCAAATAGTGCCACCAGTTATCTACACCAGAAACTACTCAGATGCAAAGCCCCAAACCCCAAACCCGGTCAAAGACAATGCTCAAAAGGCCGATGCCAAGTCTCCAGAAGAGATAAAGCCTAAAAAGAAAACGCAAGCTGAGCTCGACGCGGAAGTGATGGCAAAGCTGGCCGGGCACGACAGTGAGGGAGGAGAAGCTGGCATCGAATACGAAGATGGGAAGCCAGCGTCCATGAAGAGAAGCGTGAAGAACAACATGTTCAGATACATATGATTCAGTATCGTTCTGAAGTCTTTGCTGAATACGGTGCAAGCGTTCACGAGGTATATATTTTTCGTAGTGTGCCTTAGCCTCGTATAGACTAACATTCATAGACACAGCAGCCATGAAATTTGCGATGCGCATCTCAGGTCAAGAGGTTCGGTGGACGTGCTTGAAACCACCATTCTGCTTGTGTAGTACATGAAGCCCAGACAGGAAACCTCATGCAAGTAGTACGACGACTGAGACCATACATGGTCCAGGCGACTATTGTATAGGCCCCTGAAGCCCTAGAACCAGCTGTAATCTGTAATTATATTTAGTGAAGCAAGTCAGTAATTAGTTCGCTTGAAAACAAATCTATAGTAGCATTGTGGCCATCCTCCGCTGATGGGAGAGGTTGCACAACCATCGTAGTCGAATGGCGCTGGGTCTGATTGCTGACATATGGGGCATCCTGTACGGCAATATGCTACATAATAGCATTTGATTTTTGGTCCTTTGAACGTCATTACGCAACATGAACTGTTTGGTACCACGCGGTAGATCCAAAGTCGCCAAATCGAATATTTGCCTACGTCATGAGTTACCAACCTAACAACATCGCGACTCACGTCCAACATCAAACCCCCACAACACAACATTCGTAAGATCTTTCTGTTTCTCGTACCAGCAAACAACCATGGAGCACTATGCCCCTCACCCATCATCGCAATTCGAAGGCTACTACTCCAAATTCGACCTCGCATCTGGCGCGCATATTGCTCTTATCATATGCTCCGTGCCTGATGCGTCCTCACGCCCGCACATGGTTTCATTTACCTACTACCCTTCCTCTGGTCACCCAATATTCCAGCGCGAACATTTTGTTGATAACATTGAGCGCGTGACAACTGATGAGAAGAGCAAAGCGTTCGAGCTCCGGGTACCAGGCATAGGATTCATGAGGACCGAGGGTGACGGACGCACAAGCTACAAGCTGGAGGGCGAGGACGGGAGTTGGAAGCTTGAAGCACAATGTGAGGAGTACACCGCGTGGAGAGAGGACAAGAGCACGCCAGAAGGATGGATGATCAACCTCCCATTTCCGCTACATTGGCACGTACATTCTCTTTGCTCTCCGGCTACGTTCACCCTCGATATACCCGCTCTTGGCGAGGATTTCCCAACTCAAGATAGGAAAAGCCGCGCTACGATCCATCAAGAGAAGAACTGGGCCAACAGTTTTCCCGATGCACATATGTGGGTGCAAGCCTGGGACAACGATCAGAAACGCGGTATTTGTCTGGCTGGCGGCAAGATCATGTACAATACTGCGTATATGCTTGGTTATCGATCCCCATCTCTCAACCTCGATTTCGTACCACCCTTCTCGGTGTCTTACCTGAACCTTGTTAGCCCCTTCATGAGCGCCACAAACGACTGGGATACACGCTCTTTCTCTATATCTGTATCGAACTACTTTCACAAACTGGAGCTCAAAGCCCAAGCGCCAAAGGAGCCGGGCTGGTTCGGCCTAGCGAGCCCATTTCCAGATGGCCATCGGGCAAACTTCTGCAAGGAAAGTTTTATTGCGACGATCGAAGCGAAAATTTGGGAGAAGGAAGGGTGGTGGCCGTGGAGTGCGTGGAAGGAGGTCAAGACAGAGAAATGGGAGGGCGCGAGTCTGGAATTTGCAGGAGGATACTATCCAGAGAGGGGAGAGACCAAGCAGGACTGAAGACATAGGGGCTGAGGCAAGTACATTAGTGGCATGCAGTCGGTACTTAATTATGATATCAATGTGTCTATGGTTCGAACGGAACGCCTCCGAGAGTATCCTGGGACTCTATCGTATCTCCGATGGATTGGGTTTCAGAGCTTCGACTTCCTATCCTTTGGCTTGAACAACCTATCCAACTCTTGCACAAAGCGCTCAGGCAACACTGTTCTCTCTACTCCTTGCTTTCCTTCCCATTCCTCCTCCGTTAGGCGTTCCCAATCCCAGTATCTCCTCATCTCTTGACTGACCCACTTGCTGATATGATCCGCACTCTCTTCTACTTTCTCCATGGGTATCAGATGCCCTGCACCTTTCACCATGACATTTGCTACCCGTCCTTCTGCGCGTCCGCCGCTACCATTTACACCAGAGCCGGTCAAGCGCATCTTATCCTCAATGGCTTTGTCGTCAGTCAGGAATGAAAGTTCGCCAAAGATGTAGAATACCGATGGCCGGATTGAGGGTAGTTGGTTGAAGACAATGGTGGATTCGCCTCGGTAAAACGGTGACTGAAGGTTGGCGGTGGGTGTCATGTCTGCATGCGTCCTCCTGTTAAGCTTCGGATTGGTCAATGTGAACTCTGCAGAGGAAGGCTCTTTATCCCCAGGTCTGGCAGCCAAGTTCGGTCGCAGGAATGTCATGACCTCCTGATGCTTCGTGGTGGTCAGGGTGACCTCGGGCTTCTTTGCATCAGGGAACAATTTTGTTGGTACATCTCTTAATCCATACTGCACCCATAGGTCTAACACCCGCGGGTCCCACGCCTGGTAAAACTTGCTCTTGCTGAAACTCTTCGCGGCTTCTTCTCGTGATGGCCAGAGCTCACGTCGTCTTGATGATGCAGCAGCTGGCCCAACATTGCCGTTCAGTGAAACCTGGCCTTGGATGACAGGGTCGACGAGGATCAGGGTTTCGAAGAGACGGGGATGCAAGAGGGCGAGATTGGCAAGTTGGCAACCACCCATGCTATGGCCAACACCGATTATGGGGCGAGGCATTTCATCGCGGAAAAGATTCACCATGTGCAGGAGATCTCTGCTGTGGTCAAGCCAGGCCGCTATGGAATGTCAGTGTGTAACCTTGTACTTAAAAAGATATACGTACGGTCGTTGCCTAACTTATCTTCGTTCAAAACGCTGCTCCAGCCTTGATGCACAACATCGGCTATCCATATACCTCTGATGCCGAAGCCATGTTGCTGGCTCTTCTTTAGGAGCTCATCCCATAGTGGTTCATAGAGTTCTTTTGGAAATCCATTTGCATGCGCTGCGATGATAGTAATGTCTCCGGGTTTGGGGCTGGTGTTGCTGAGGGGTGTGTACTGCTTGACGGCTAGATGAAGGACTTCTTCCTGCTTCGTAGCTGTGGAGCGCGGCCAGCCACGGATGTGCGATGCCTCTACTTTATGCTCCTTTATGCGAAAGTGCTTCGAAGACATGTTCTTGTCGCGCGTAGATGCAATCAGGCTAAACGTGTAGAGTCGAGAAGACAATGCGAGTGACGAGCACGTTTAAGTCACGGTACCTGTTGTGTGCAGAAAGTTGAGATGAGAGGATGATACGCCTAGATAGCAAGGAGATGTCTATGCTTACGGGTGTGTCGTGATCAGTAGCCGGCGTAATCTGGGGAAGAATGCCGAGGTCCACCACGGCTTCTCTTCTCCCCACAACCTCCACATACAGACAAACGACTGCGGTACGGATGCGCTTTAGATATGCTTTGTGTAGCGAGGCCAAGTTACGCGTCTCTCATGGCACATATCGTACATCAGAAAGAGAGTAGTCGGGCCTGAGCTGCGATGTTATGACGAAATCAGCGTCGGAGTGTTTTGGTGGGGTGTCACGTGGACTTTGACGCGTTCGTGCCTTCCAAAGTTCGCGTTGACCCACGTCGCATCGCGCCTTCGAGATCAGTGTTGGCGGCCACCAAATCTCTACACCATACAGCACAACATCCCCGACCGCGACCATGGAAGACACTACCATGCTAGAGGGCTCACAGGGTCTGTTCGAGGAGCTCACCTTCACCCTCATTCCCAATGGTCTCTCAGAAGAACGAATGCGCCAGGTACGCGACGCGTTTGGTCAATCGAGAAGTGGTACTAACGAGTCAAACAGATCGAAGACGATATCAAATCTGCTCACGGAACCGTCGTACCCTTCAGCGCACCCAAAGGCCGTATAGAGAACCTAGAGGAAATCAGCTACATTGTCTCCGAGACAGCCGACTTCCCCGACTACTACCGCGCCCTCGATCTCATGATACATGTCGTCAAGCCAACATGGATAGGCGCGTCGCTCCAGTCCAACAAAGCCAAGAACCCGCGAACATACAGTCCCGATCCTGCATTCATCATGAACGATGTGGTCATATGTTGCGGGGACATACCGAGCGGAGACAAGGAAGCGATTGAGGGCGGTGTACTGGCACTGGGTGGGCAAATCGCACCAAGCCTCTCCAAGTTTGTGACACATCTCATTGCACTCGACGTGAGTGAGCCGCGATGCCAGCTCGCCATCAGTAAGCGGCTGCAGCTGTCCATTGTGCTACCACACTGGTAAGTTCGGGGTCGAGCGCGTGGTACTTGACTCCATCTAACACTCGCAGGTTCGATGACTGCCTCAGAGTTGGCCGCCGTATATCAGAGCGACCTTACACGCTCCCCAACCCCGAGATTCTCGCCGATGCGGAACCAGGCTCGATTCCTCCAACACGAGTGAGCCAGCAGATTCGAGATGCAACCACACCAGATCCTCACCACGACCCCGTGCCACCACCTGCTCACCTAGAAGCACCCCGTGCAATCAAGGCTTTTGACGGAAAGAGTGTAAAGCTCGGCGACGATTTGAACATAAGCAGCCGACTCAAGGGTATCATCACCGGCATGATCAAGGCTGGAGGCGGCAGTGTGACCTCAAAGGTCGATGAAGCAGACATGTATGTTTGCAACTACCGAGAAGGCTCCGACTATATCAAGGCTTCACAAGCACAGAAAGACGTGGGCAATCTGGGCTGGTTGTATTATCTTATTACGCACGGAATCTGGACGAATCCTATGCAGCGTATGATGCATTACCCACGGCCACGACAAGGCATCCCCGGATTCGAGAACTACAAGATCAGCATATCAAGTTACACTGGTGAAGCGCGGGTGTACCTGGAGAATTTGATCAAAGCTACAGGTGCTGAGTTCACCAAGACATTCAAGCAGGACAACACACATCTTGTCGCTGCGCACAAGAACAGCGAAAAGTGCGAGGCTGCGACAGAGTGGGGCGTGAACATTGTCAATCACTTGTGGCTAGAAGAAAGCTATGCCAAATGCAGAGAGATGCCTCTAACTGAGAGTCGCTATACGTACTTCCCAGATCGGACCAACCTGGGAGAAGTCTTGGGACAGACTGAGATCGATCGCGAGGCTACCGAAAAGATCTTCTACTCAAAACAAGCAAAACCAGCCAAAGCCGTCAAGGCAGCACCGCAGACTAACGCCGTCCCAGCTTCGAGTGTAGCGCCCAGGGCAAGCGAACCTCCAGCACCCCGTAGCCCACCTGGGGCTGAGAAGGCCAAGCGTGCGAAGTCAGGAAGCAATGCGCAAACGCCATTGCCACCGCGACATACTGATGGAAAGGAGAACCAGACACCAGGGAGTCGAGGAGCAAAAGACCGCGCATTGTCAAAACTGCACAATGCCGCACCAGATATTGCACAATTCGAGAAGGAGATGAAGCGCAAAGGCGGCGTCGTACATGGCGGACGCAGACGCACAGAAGACCAGGTTGACGAAGGGACGAAGCAACCGAAGGGCTGCCGTGATTCAGTCTCAAGCAAGCGTTCTATCGATGAAGTCGACGATGACGAAGAGACCGAAGACGAAGCTACAGAGGTTCCAGCAAAGAACAAACGAGCAAAGAAGGACAAGCTTGCGCCCATCAAGTTCCGTATGCTTATCTCAAAAGATGAACGATGGGCCAACAATCCTGAAAAGGAATCAAAAGATAAAGCGCGCCTTCGAGAGCTCGGCCTCTTCATCACAGATGACTTCAAGAAGGTGGATATGGTTTGCGCGCCACAACCCGTTCGGACGAAGAAGTTCATCGCAGCACTAGCCTGCGCGCCTACCCTCGTGTCAACCACTTACCTCGACTTCGCCCTCAAGAACAACAAGCTTCCACCGGCAGAGAAACACCTCCTCCAAGCTAGAGACTTTGAAGAGGCCAACAACTTCCGACTATCCGAAGCACTCGAGCGAGCCAAGCAGAATAAACACCGCCTACTCAAGGACTGGACCATATTTTGTACAGAGAAGGTTGGCGGCGGCTTCGAAACATACAAAGACATTGTGGAAGTCAATGGCGGCAAGTGTGTGCTATGGAAGGGTCGCCCTACTACGGTATCCGCATCAAAGCGCAAACTAAACGCCTCCGATGAAGTTAGCCAGAACCAAGTCGAAGATGAAGGATACGTACTATATCTTATTTCCGACGCAGATAAGAAGGAGTTTACCAACTGGACCAAGTTCCGTGAATTGGCTAAGAGGGAGAACATGGTTCCCCGTATTGTCAAGACGGAGTGGCTGCTTTCTGTAGCGATGGCGCAGTATGTCCATTGGGATCCGGAGTGGGAACTGAGTGAGGAGGTTGTTAATGCTGGGAAGAAATAGTAGTTGCATGTTTGGTATCTCTTACGGCTGATGACGGGTCAGAGCGACAGGCGTTCAGGTACTGAGATCGGAGTTTCACCACTGCGTACAGACGTCGCTTTGAGTGATCTTGATATAAGGAGCATTTGTCTGATAAACTTTTGAGCGAGTTTGCGCATTGTTTCGCATGGCATTGTTAGCGATAGGATGAGGACGGTAGCATGTACATTGGCTTCTGTGACCCTCAATATTACAGAGGCCCCATGTTCATTCGTTTGTTACATACACGCATCTCAGCTTCCCGATCTTCTTCGCCACTGTGATCTAATATGTGGCTGCGCATCCTCTTCTTGCTTCATGTCATACATTCTCGTTATAGTCAACACATCCCTTGTGGCGATCCTACATAAACCGAGATTGTAGTCGTGCGTACGGCACGGTCGGGCCATGCAAGAGGTCTCTGTGCCACAGTGATCCTTGGTGAACCGGGCCGCGATTCTGCGTTTAGGTTGTGGAGCGAGTGGTGGGATCTTACCTGGAAGATAGCTGCTGCCTTTGCTTCATGTGAAGAGAGGGCGATCGAGAGTGGTTGGATTTGCGTCAGCTTGGAATGCAAATCGGAAGAAGGATGGTTCATTGTAGACGCAGAAATTATTCGCTGTTTTCCACTTTCACGACCAGAGCTTTAGTGCTCCAGAACGCAACTAACAGCAACAACTTAATGTTACAACTAGCATAAGCCCATTGCGTGTGATGTCATTGAATCTCATGCGTCTCGTTCGATAATTGAGACCGTAAGCTTCTATTGGGGCTGGAGATCGATGCACATCGCTAGTGCTCACTCCGAGTGAGCCGAGGAGCCAACACATTCAGCGGATACCAGGCAGCTGGGAAAAAAGTCTGGGGGCGGAAGCAGTGTAAGCCAGACCCATCACACTCAGCGAATCGACTGCTGCTTAGAAGTCTTGCATAGTACGGAAGTGGACAATGGACTGGGCAAAGGGGCGGGATCTTCGAACTTGTCTAATTGAAGTATATTGGCTTTTCGCAAGAGTAGAGGCGAAGGTTGTTGTAAGCTCGACTGCGCGGTATGACAATTGCAGGAGCGCGAATGGGGTATATAGTGATGCTTATAAGAGGTATCACGGGATGGTGAGAAACTGGAATGCAAATAAAAAGAAGAAGAAAAAAGCGGAACCATCAGCTCGTCTGAAACCCATAGCCTGATATCTTTTGCCCACAACCAACCATGTCTCTAATCTGACAATGTGTGAACGATCTTCGGAATTGGCGGCATCGCGATATTTGTAGGCGTCGACTCGTAGTATCGTGCCCGTTGGCTTGCCGTGCTTGTGCTGCGTGCGCGTCCCGATGGACGTACACCCAAATCGCCCCCATCGCCACTCGATGATGTCGGACTCAGCACAGGACTCAGCATCGGGCTGAGCACCATAGTACTGAGGGTTGCATGGCTTTGTCGGCTAACAGAACTCACACCCGTACCAGAGCTCTCCGTGTTGTCACCGATCGGGTCTCTGACCTCCTCCGCTGGCGTGACTTGTAGCGGTACGAGGTTCATAGTCTCTGTGCTTGACCTCTTGTTGCGCGCTTCTGTTTCCGAGTCGACGTATAGTGTAACGCTGCTCGCTCGGACACGACTGAACATGCTTGTCTTGTCCTCGTTCGCCAAGAGGCCTGCTGTATCTGATTTGCGGTTGTCGAGCTTCTTCTTTTCGTTTCTTCGGTGGAGCCAAAAGACAAGTGATGCAAGGCAGATGGCTAGGAAGATAAGAGCGAAGACGGCGGTGAGGGCGATGTTGGCTTTCGTCCAATATCCTGAATCAGGCTTTGAATTCTGGTCTGTCTCTGCGACGAGATTGTTGTCCACCGGTATAGGAGCCATGATGATGTATATTGGTGTAAGCCAAAGGGTCTCTGATATAGGTTCGGTTGGTGAGACTTCAGATTGTAGATGAAGCTATCCAGGTACTTGTAATGCTGGTGATGGGAGGTTGAATGGCGGTGTGACAAGGATAAGACAGTTGCTACGCCTCAGCAATGTGTTGCTCTAACGTTACAAGAGTGTTGATATGGACTTGATTAAGGAATCCCTTCTGTACTGTGAACTGATACCGGGGACCAGGCAGACATATGTCTGCGTAAAATGAAACCTACTACGCATGGACATGTTCTGAACCTGCATCCATGGCACTGGATCGGTGAGAAGGCGCCCAATATGCGGCTCGTAAGTGGAAAGAGATGCTCAGCCTCAACACGTTGTGGGGAAATAGGCCAACAACTTGGAGAGAGTCACTGCGCCCCTGTCAGCTTGGCAAAAGAAGAGACGCCTGACGAGTTGCGAGCGTAGAAAACTGTTGTCAAAGCTTGGACTACCGCGTCTAACGGAGAAGTAGGAAAGAGCTGCGTAGCACACGGTGGTGGCACAGGCTCGTAGAAGATGGTGCCAGGCATGCATATCGGAGCCCATTCGTTGCCATTTCAGTTGAGAAGAGTTCTCTATCGCGTGTGAGCCACATCTGGACAGTGGTGCCCTTTTCGTCACGCAGCTGAAGCTATACGTTCAGCTCGTGGAACAGCAGACATTGGGTGGCTGCTCTCGCGAACGGCTCCCCAACCCAACCCTCCACTACACAGTATCAACTTGAAATCGCCAGCCTAGCACGAGAAACTGTAAAGACACGGTGATGTGCCAGAGGATCGTGCTGTAGGATCAACGTTTCGGAATTTAGGCAAGCACAGCCACCTGCGCTAAAAGAAATGAGCAGCTACAGTCACGAATCGACACAAGGCTGAGCGCCTTACAATTCTCTACGTGTCTGCCTGAGCCAAGCTCAAGTAGGATTGGACGGCGACTTGGGGCAAATTGTGGGGTGAGAATAGGCGAACTGGTCGTGGTAAAGGAAAGCCATGATGCGAAGTGCTAGCTTCCGCTGCGGTGCGTTGTTGTAAAGATATCGGATGGCAGGTGCTGGTTACTGGACGCCATCATAAAGTATTGCGGCGCCTCTGCGGCGACCATGCGGCGTAGTGGAGCAAGATCCTAATCTTATGCGTGTGTTGGCTGGTGAGTGAAAGCTCACCACCAACCAACGAGGGTGGTGTTGAGGACGGCTGGCCACTGCTGGCCTAACAGCGGGACGATGTTGGCCCCCAACTAGCGTCTCGCTTAGGTGCTATGTGCTATTTTGGGATCACTTCTAGATGTCACGCCTTTACGGCCAAATCTCGCCTGTTCTTCTGCACGAGACTGTTCATGAAGAGTATGTGGAAAACTTGGATTGACCCAAGGCTGACTTCGTTGCCGTCAAGCATGAGGACCACCCTGAAAGAGAATGGGACGGCATTAAGCCAACTCACGTATTCTTAAAGGCTTGGTCTACCTGTGTTATCGTAAATATCGCGCATGTCGATACTTCATGAAATCAGGACTTCAAAGGCCCCTCACCACTATAGTTGTTAATTGCAGTTTACCTGTTGCGAACGATCTCTTGTAGGATGGGTGAATTTCTGTTATCTTTTCACGTTCTCTACCTAGGTATCCATTGATCAATTTGTTCACTGGAGAGACCACAATCAAACTGCTGTACGACTTGTCCAAAACCAACTTTCACTTGATTGAAACTGTGGACCTTGATTCGTTTAGGACAGACACGTCACACCTATTCGCTTGAATCGTTTTTGGAACAACTGCGCATGATAGGAAACTATCTTACGCACCAGCAGTTCCTTTTTCAGTCAGCTAGTGCTGCTCCATTGATCACGTAGCTTGCGACCAGGCACGCGTGACATCATCCCCTCAAATCCGAGCTTGTTGGCATCAGTAGCCTGGTGACGAATGACTTCAGGTACTGGAATGTCGTTGTGATGGCGAATTTACTCGATAGTAGCGACCTCACTCATAGTCTTGAAAGGCACTTTGTGCTAGGTATTTGACAATGCATAGCTCCGGATCCTCGATCCTTAACTCGTGCTGTATAAGAGTTTTGACATGCTCAGTGGCGGGTTCGGTTGTCTATTTGGGTTGCAGTGCTCTGAACGGATGTTCTTCCCAGAGATATCCTGGATTACTTCTCGTATGTGCTTGATAACTTTGGTGTGTCTACCTTTATACCTCATCTCCTGCATGTTCAAACAAACTCACAGCATGTCACTCTTATGGTTCAGTGCGTGAAAGCAATAATATTCTACTATCGCAAGTGACACTATGGCCTTACGCAAGTAATTCGGGTTCATCTATCAAAGCAACACGAGAAAAGGAAACGACCATGGGTCGTACTGATGATCATAAGCGCCGTTCCATGCAAGATTGACACAAGATTTTGAGAAACAAGGAAACAGATTCCCGAGGGACCCAATGCCATTCCACCCATCTTCATTCACCTTTTTTTTAATCCAAAGAGAAATTCTCCCTCTTCCAGGTCTCGCGGTACACGGCAATAGTACTGGCAGCGTCCTTACAGCGCTCCGGTGCACGAGCCGGAAGGTCAATGATAGCGCGACGAAGTACGCCACGCGCAGGTACGCCGTAGAACTGGATAAACTTCTTGTGGTAGTCGCGGATCAGGCCGCTGAGAATGGCAAAGTGTCCAGGCCAAAGTTGCTCGGTGGGTGTGTTGCATATCGAGGAGATGGCGCGCCAGTATTCCGAGATGGCAATCGCAGGCGCCTTGGCAGCGAACGAGCGAAGAGACATTGAAGCAAAGCCCGCTCCAATGCCGCGCATGCGCTGTGAGTACGACTCTGGGGTTGAGTCCTCCTGCCAGCCTAGGCGCAGCCGACCTTCCTTGGTGTCCATAGTACCTCGGATGCCAAACAATGGGGGGCACGCCTTGTGGAGCTTGGCCAGTGCAATGTCAATGAGGGGAAGACCCTGCCACTGGTACTTCTGGTCACCGAACAAACTGGCTGCAATCAAGCCAATCTCTTGGATGATGCGTCCGTCAGTGTTGGCAGCCTCCTTCTCAAACTGCTTTACCAGGAACTTCTCAAAGCAGATCCAAACGTAGAGAAGGAACGCCGGATAAGCAGCTTCGTTGTCGTTGGCTAGCTGGGGGATTTGGTGTGAAACGATGTATGGTCGGATGTCAATCATAGGGCCTGGAGTTTGTAGAGCGATGTCGAAGCATTCGGTTCGAAGGCGCTTGATGGCGGCGGCGCTATCCTTTCGCTCCACGTTGATCTGACCAAGTCGAGTACGGAGAGCGCGCCGAGCGTCGCCAACCGGGCCCTTCAAGGGCGAAGTCGGTTTCTTGTGTTCCTCCCAGAAAGCATTGCGGAAGGCCTTCATGCGCTGATGGAGTTCGAGATACTTGGCGTGGATCTGTTCGGCGTTATTGGTGGGTGCTTGTGCGTTTGTGGATGGCTTCGGTGCTGCTGCCACCTGTGTGGGTGCGACGGCGGGTGTAGGTTGTGCAGCGGGCTGCTGCTGTTGTGTTGGTGGTGGTGCTTGCTGTTGAGCCTTCTGTGCAGCAGCCGCAGTGGCCGCAGCCTCGGCAGCCTTCCGGTCAGCGTCCTCCTTTTCTTTCTTCTGCCTCTCAGCTGCGGCTTGTTGGTCCTGCTGAGCTTTGATTCGGGCATTAGCCTCTTCAATTCTCTTCCTGTCTGCTGCTTCTTGACGGGCGGCTTCTTCCTCGCGTTGTTTGGCTTCCAAGGCCCTTCGCTGAGCCTCGGCTTGCTCGCGGGCCTTCTCCTGCTTCAAGCGCTCAATCTCCCTCTTTTGGCTCTCTTCATGGCGTAGACGCGCCTGCTCTTCTTCCAAGGCTATGCGCTCAATCTCGAGCTTCGCGCTCCTAAACACGCGCTCGTGTTCCTCGGCAGCCCAGGCAAGTTGTTGTGCATGGTGCTTGGCTCGTTCCTCGGCGGCTTTGTCGAGCTTCTCGTTAAACTCTCGGTCTGATATGCTGAGGCGGAGATTGAACTCGAGGGCTAGTTGCTTGCTCGGGCTGTCATAGGGGTCGCGGACAAGGGACTCGCGCTGAGAGCGGTGTATGCTTCTGCGGTTCGGCGATTGGCGTGACGGGGAGGCGTCGGCGAAACTGGAGCTGAAGGAAGTTGCAGTATGCATGCTCGAGGATGACGTGCCCGATCTGGCGGGCATTCTGGCGCCGGGGTCGTGGTTGCGGTTGGGGAGCTTTTGTTGAAAAGGTGGTTGGTGAGAACGCGACCTTCAAAGAGATCTAGTCTAGTCGGAGACTAACGCAAGCTCCGACTCACGTGACGTCGCTCATCCCTGCAGCAGCTTTCACCGCGCTGCAGTGCTAGCGTACCTGGGGAATCGACATCTGAAGAATCGGCCGATGATGGTTTCTTTGTCGAGGCACGCAGCACCCATTGCACGCTGACGTAATTGCACCCGTCACTGTCACCCGCCGGGAGAGTAAGATGAGACTGGAGCTTCAAGGACGCCTGAGTCGCGTCTTGGGCAAACGCACCGTGTTGCGCCTTTCATAAAGTTCACAGGATTCGTCTGTGCCCGAGTTTGGTGGGACTGCCGCCAAGCTGCGACGGCGCTGCGTGCACACCCTGGTGCTCTGGTGCTCTTGTGCCCCCCCAACATGTCCGTTTCACTGACAGAATGTGACAGCTGGGGAAAGATGTGAAATTCACGTCTTGGGGTTTCAGCGATGGCATTGCGAGGGTCGAGTACATCTACTACTCGCTATCGTATTGTTGCTGGCTACTGCTGCATGTTGGACATGACAAGCTTCCTGGCCCAACGCGGTGGATCAATATAATCTCCAGACGCGTAGCTGCATGCCACTGTCATGAACCGAGAGCCCTTGCGCCGCGCTCCCGAGGCACTGCAGCTTGTTGTCGTGATTTAGAAACGGCCGCCGGTTAAGGGTGCGTTGAAACGTGCAGACCCAAACGTGATGCTTCACC